CCTTTCCGGATCCCCTCCCGGCCCACCTTGATGCCATGCTCCGTGTAGAAGTCGGCCGTGCCCAAGCTGGCGTAGAGGCTGTAGCCCAGGCTCTCCAGGGTGCGGACCGTCGAGAGCAGCTCGCTCTTGTTCTGGGAAGGGAAGATCAGGCGGGAAGTGGGGGAGAGTCTCCCTTCCCTTCGCCAAGCAAGCAGGCTTGCCAGGCGACGTCCCCCCACCCCACCCCGGCCCAAAGAGCCTTTACGCGCCACCCCTGCCCAGTAGTACCAAAAGGATATTCCCCACCCCATATCCAGGCAGGTGGGGCAGGGAGTCCCCTCCCGCGCTGCCCCAGAGCAAACCCCACCCTCTCCTCGTGGGGCCCACCCCTGCTCTGCTGGCTGAGGGCCTGGGGGGGGACTCCTCCCTGAAAAGGTCAGAGTCCAGGGAAGAGACTGAACCCCCTCTGCCCAAGACCCCAGACTCCTGGTGACCCCACCAGGACAGGCCGGGCACAGCGGCCTCAATGACCTGCGCCCTCCTGTTCCCCTTGGGGAGCCGGATCTGGCCCGCTGAGTGGGTGGAGGACATGGGCAAAAGGCAGGGGCCGGTTTGCAGTGGGACTCGGAGCGTGCCCCCCCCCGGGCTTCCCAGACAGGGGTGGGGCTCCGAGCTTGAAGGAGACCCTCTTCCCACGCACCGCTGGATCAGGGCCTCCCACCCCCCCCGGCCCTGCAGCCCCACCTTGTAGCTCCCGATGGTGAGCAGGATGTTCTTTTTGGGTATCTTGAAGCCGGTGCTGAGCATGGCCTTGAGGTAGGCCTCACAGCGGTTCTCTCCGAAGCAGGCCACCTCCCCCGTGCTGGTCATCTCCACGCCCAGGACCACGTCGGCCCCCGCCAGCCGGGAGAAGGAGAACTGGGGGACCTGGGGAGGAGAGGTGGAGGGGGGGTGAGCTCAGCCCCAGCCCCAGCCCCGAGGCAGGCAGGGAAGGGGCCGGCCAGGCAGGGAGGCAGGCGGGCAG